AATTCCATACCAGCGAGGGCTACATAACTAAACCCTGTCACAAACAAATGTGCCCAACCGTAGTGCAAATTCTAATTGGTCTTAATAATAAAAACCTGGAGTCAGATAATAGGGGGTGAAAGCTGAAAGACCAGAGAAGCAGAGCAGCCAGCCACTAGTTCTTACCTCTTTGAAATCCTCAGACTAAAGTGAGCAGGATCCTGCCCCTACAAGTGCTCCCGCTAATGCCATCAGTTCCGGTCTCCTTCCACATTATATTCCTCTCTCAGTGCCCAGCCGTATCACTTCCTGTCTCCACCTCCCTAGTGCTGGGATTAAAGGTGTGAGCCACCACCACTGACTCTGCTTCTCTTTTAGACTGATTCAGTTCTGTGTAGCCCATGGTGGCCTTGACTTCACAGGGATCTGTCTGAATCTGTCTCCAGACTGCTGGAATTAGAGGGGTTCTGTGTGTGCCAGCACTGCCTGGCCTCTATGGCTAACTAGTGTGGCTAGCTCCGCACTCTGACCTTCAGGCAAGCTCTGTTGGAGCACAAACAAAATATCACCACACCCAACAAACAGTTGGGTGAAAACAGCACCTGACTGACCACGCAGAGAGTATAAATGTTTACTGGTCATGGCTACCATCACTCAAGACACTGAAGCAGATGATCACTGAAAGTTTTAGGCTAGCCTAGGCTAAACCATAAGGTCGTATCTCAAAGAGGTTACCCGACGTGAGACAATTATGACGTACTTAATGTGTGTTTGTGCATGTGGGTGCTATCTTGCAAATATATATATATATTTTACATATATATGTATATATACATATATATGTATATGTATATGTATATATATATAATTTGTAGAAGAGACATATTTAGGATCCAGTTTGCTTAAAAGCATGCAGATAAATGACAAATTGGAATCTAGCCAGAGAAAACTAAGTAGATTGGGTGGGAATGGAAATCAGGCCAGGGGACAGAAGAAGGAGCTGGAGGCAAAGAGGACAGAAATCGTAGGAAATTTACTTTAATTTAAATAAAAATGCTCAGCCAGGCCTGGTGGCACACAACTTTAATACCAGCAGCGCTTGGGAAGCAGAAGCAGACTGGCTGAGTCTAAGGCCAGCCTGGTCTATAGAGTGAGTTCCAGGAGAGCCTGGGCTACATAGAGAAACCCTGTCTCAAAAACAAACAAACAAAATTTTAGAAATTAATTAAAATAAAAAATAATAAAACTATGGTTTCATATTGAAGGACTCTGAGCAGACAACTAAGCCATCTGGGATTATGTAAGATGCCGGGCTGGAGTATCTCACTATTAGCAGTACAAAAAGGGTCAGGGATTTAGTTAGATGACCCATAGGCCCCTTCCCATCTAATTTTTGAGACCGAACTTTGACAGTGTTGTGGACTTGTACTGCCTGCCTAAAGAAAGGTAAGGAGCAAGGGGCTAAGGAATGAAGCTCACTGGTCCTAAGTGAGTTAGAGCAAATGCCGCGGTCTGGCTTACTACTCCTAACCCTTCAAAACAGTCTTTCCCCACTTCCTGGATCTGCCCGCTAGCAGTTCCCTTCTCCCATGGTCCCGGCCTGGAGAAACGACTGGGTTTTAGCAGGAACTTGGGACTCTTGTGCTCTTCTTTCCATTGGGGTCAGTTTAACTTGGTTTCATTATTAGGCTGAAGATAGGTAAGTGATTACCTAGAGGGTGTGATTGCCGGGAGCTCTATCTCTTTGAAGAGAAGTCTGGGCTTTCATTGTTGCTTTGTCCTTTGAATCTTGAATGCTTTCCAAAATTATTTTGCAAAAATGCCAATAATTACGGGAAAGGGATCACCTTAAGATGCCAGGAAAAGGGATGGGGGAGGAGTCCTGCATTCTGCAAAGGGCCTTTCCTAAGTGTCTAGAGGAAGTTTTGTATGCTGGGAGACTGGGCAAAGCAAGGGGGGGAGGGGGTCTTCAGAGAGGAGGGTATTTTTAATGTGAAAAATTTAATAACAGTATTTTTATGTAAGCGGATTCTTCTTATACGTCATTTAGGACTCCCTACAACTACAGATTTCAGATTTCAAGATGTCCACCCCGTGACATCTCCACATTCTCAAGCTTAGCTGCAGAAGTGCGACTCAAACAGTGCCGTTGCTAGATAAGTGTAGCACTAATCTCTCATCAGAGAAGTTTCTTTTTGCAGCAGAGACCAATACAGAAAGCTGCAACTCATCAAAATTCAGAGAACAGATGATTATGAGGTGTACCAACTGCTACATATACAACAGAACCCCAACACCTAAACTAGAGACCATCCCAGAAGAGTGGGCACAAAGATTCGAAGACTCAGAGGACCAGGAAGTAAGCTGTAAAATTTTGTCTCCTAGAAATGTCAGGGAAGTTATTCACATAAAAATCTCAATGCTTGCCTAATCAAGACCTGAATAATGATAACACCAGTTGGCTCACCAGCATAGATGGAAGAAATCTCCCAAGCCCTTACTTACCCCGAGATGAAGAGCTACAGACAGTTAAGTCTGTTGAGAGAGGAAGAATCAGTGTTCTCCGGGGACAAGTGATCATCCCTAAACATATGAGCAAGACTTAATAAAGTGAACATCTTGTATTTATAAATGTTTATGTATATATGTAGCAATAGTAAAGAGGAAGAGACCATAAATTTGAGGAATATGGGGTAGGGGACACAGAAGGGGTTGAAGAAAGGAGGAAGAGGGAGGAAATGACGTAAATGCAGTACTCATCTATAGAATTCTAAAAAATAAATTTAAAAATTCTACTGGGTATATGTACCACATTTTCTTTATTTTATAATCTCTCTCTCTCTCTCTCTCTCTCTCTCTCTCTCTCTCTTTCTTTCTGTGTGTGCGTGTGTGTGTGTGCTGGGGGGCATTGTAGGTCAGAGATCAGTGTATCATCTACTTCTTCTAACACTCTCCCTCTGAGTTTTTCTCACTTAACCTGAAGCTTACTCAACTGGCTAGACTTAGTTGGCCAGCAAACCCCAAGGATCCTCCTGTCTGCCTCCTCGGTGCTGAGATTGCACACTACCATGCCATCACTCTGGGATGTGAACTCAGTTCCTTATGGTTCCCCGGCAAACCATTACTGACTGAACCATTTCCCCAGTCCAAGGGAGGAGTTTGTCTACTCAGGGTCTCTGCTTAAAATTAGAAGAGCAGTCTGAGCTACTAGGTCAACCAGCTTATAACTAAAAGCAAACAAAAATTAGAAAAGTTAATTTTTTTTTAAAAAAAAATGAACAGCTAGAATGAGTAGTTTCTATTTCTACTCATATATTTAAAAATCCTAAAGTATTCTTTTAAAAGAATATTGGTGACGAGATTTCATTCAAGCTAGAATGTTCTAATGCAATTATTCTATACTTTGTTAATTTTATGGAACTTTCCAGAGTAGTGAAACGAACAATAGCAACAAATCACCAAACTAAGAGAAACGGTAAGATGTAATTCAGCCTGAAAGAAGAGAAGTAGAGGCTGCATTAGCTGCCTGGTCTCATGTAGGAACGAATCCACGGGGAAGAGATGACAGGATTTTATTGCTCCCTAATGACAACTCCTTGCTTCAAACGTGCCTGGGAACTAGGACTAGTGACTTGGCTAGGGTGAACAGAGTTTCTAATTAACCTGTGACTTTTCTAATGTAACAACTGCAAGTTATACTGGGCATATATCAGAAATGATGGAGTGTTTGCCTAGCATGCACAGAGCCCTGGGTCTATCCCCATTACAGCTTACATACAGTGTGGTGGTACAGGGCAGTGGTGCGTGTGGAGGGCAGGAGGGTCAGGTCATCCTCCACTATAGGTTACATAGTGTGTCGGAGGGCAGCCTGGAATACATAAGACAAAACATACATAAGATACAAAGCAAACGCTTTCAAATCCTCCACAACAGGCAAATCTGAATGATAAATACAGCATAAGTACAGGCGTTTGAACCTTAAAGCACCCTAGGTATGGTACACACACCTGCAGCCCAGTACTCAGGAGTCTTAAGATGGGAGAATCATGAGCTCAAGGCCTGCCTAGGATCCACCACAAGACCGTGTTTCCTGAAACAAAATGGAACTGTAATTTGTCCAAGCACTTATTAGAATACCCACTTTCCTTTTTTTTCTGTTTTCCACCCTGTGAACTGGGGTGAGCCTTTAAAGGCCGCGCTATCTGCCTCTTTCACTGCTAGAAAATGGAGTATTCGTGAAGGGGCTTAGTTACCTACGAAGCACTAAGTAGACTTCTGGGCAGAACATTTTAAATAATAGGCCTGTTCCTATGCTGAAATGTCACAAAATGTTAGCCAGCTACATCTGAAATATCTATTGTAGGGTAGCTGGCTAGTTCTTGATTATTGCTCTGGTTAGGTTTTTTCTTTTTCTTTTTCTTTCTTCCTTTCTTTCTTTCTTTCTTTCCTTTTTCTTTTCTTTTCTTTTTTTTTTGTCATTTTGACCTGAACTAGAATTATCTGGGAAGAAGAACCTTGATTGAGAAAATGGCTCCATCAGATTGCCTATAGGCTACTCTGCGGGGTATTGATGATTGATGTGGAGAGGACCATCCCACTGTGGGTACTGCAAGCTCTGGGTAGGGGGTCTTGAGTTGCATGAGAAAGCCAGCTGAACAAGCCAGTAAGCAGTGTTCCTCCTCCGTTCTGCTTCAGTTCTTGCCCTGTTTGAGTCCTTACTTTGGCTTTCCTCTATGGTGGACTATGATCAGGACACATAAGCCAAAGAAACCCTTTCATCCACAGGTTGCTTTTGGTCGTGGCATTTTTATCAAAGCAATTAAAATCTAACTAAAACAGTTATGCATTTCTTCTCATCTATAAGTGCTATTACTTCTTCCCCCAACATTAGAAAAGCATCTTATGATCTATCAGGGGTTTCAGAGTGCAGCTCAGTAGTAGCACACTTGCCTAGCACGTGCAAGGTCCTAGGTCTCACCCCCCTAATATAATAGCAAACCATTTTGAATGTTAGAATTCTAGTATTCACTTCCACAGCACATATACTAAAATTGGAACAACACAGTGCAGATTAGCATGGCACTCATGTAAGGATGATCTGCAGATCTGTGAAACATTCCATATTTTGCCACAATCCACGGAGTCAGAGAGGCTAGGTAACAAGGAGGGCCCATGGAGGGGAACACATGGATATCCCTGGGAAGGGGAAATGGAAGAGCTCTCCTGTGTAGACTTTGTCAGGTGGAGATGGGAAGTTGAGGCACTGGGTTGGGATGGATGGATGGATGGAGCAGGGAGAGTACTGAAAGAGATGACTGGAACAGGGCTTTGGGGTCAGGTAGAATCCTGAGGCAAGGGAAACTCCCATAAATCTACTGACCCCAGCTAAGACTCCTGGTGATAGTGGGTAGTAGCCTCACCTAGTCATCTCCTGTGATCTATCAGATTCAGATGACTATCCCGGCTGTGGTCAGAGAGCCTTCATCCAGTAACTGATGATAACAGATGTGGAGACCCACAGGCAAACATTAGGCTGAGCTCGGGAAATTCGTCTTAGGAGACAGAGGAAGGATCGCAGGAGCCAGAGGGGTCAAGGACATCACAAGAAAATCCACAGAAACATCTAACCTGGGCTCATAGGAACTCACAGAGACTGAACCAACAAGGGAGCCTGCATGGAACCGACCTAAGCCTTCTACACATATGTGACAGTTGTGTAGCTTGTTCTGTTTGTGGGACTCCTAACAGCAGGGCAGAGGGGAGAGGGAAGGGAATGGGAGGAGAAGAGGGAGGGAGGGGAACTGCAGCTGGGATGTAAAACAAACAAACAAATAAATAAAAAGAATGTCAGAACAACATATAAATTTCAGTCCTATTGCACCATCAAATAGGCGGATAGGTGGCTGAGATCATAATTCAGTGTTAGCATATGTAAGGCTCTGAAATAGATCCTCAGCATGGCCAAAGTAACAGCAATAAACCCAAATAGATGGGTAGATGGAGACCTTGAGAAGTAGAGTAAATGATCCAAGGTCCCAAGGTTCATCAAAGTCAGCACTCTTGTTGCTTTGCTCCCTTCAAGAGGAGCACTTTCTTTTGGAGGCTATTGTGTTTCACTTCTACAAATACATGTGGCTTGGTTTGGTTTGGTTTTGGTTTTTGAAGACAGGGTTTCTCTGTGTGTAGCACTGGCTGTCCTGGTATTCACTCTGTAGACCAGGCTGACTTGGAACTCACAGACACCCATCTGCCTCTGTATCTCAAGTGCTGGGCTTAAAGGCGTGTGCCACTACTGCCCGGCTGCAAATACGTTTTTGTACGGGAAAAGAAAAAAGAACTCTGGGAGCTCAAAGCAGGGTGATGGAATTAAGCCCGTGGAGGCATTTGTGGTTGGGGAGATGAAGCTAGAGGAAACGTCACTGCTTTCCTGGTAAACGTGGGAGAACATTCTGACACTGGGAACAACCCAGTTAGCATCTAACGAACTCACCAAATCAGAGAACAGGATTTTGTCAGTTTAGCACGGGTGCCTTCAGGATGTGAAGCACATATACAGGAGATGAGATTGACCATATTTTCTCTGCTAAGGAGTTTGGATTTTAGCCTGCAGGTGTCAGGATCCCCCTATCAGGTCTTAGGCTAAGGTCAGGTATTTAATGATTTGTGTTTTGCATTTTCATAACTATTTCTCATACTCTTGGCAATCTTCCTATTTCAGTACTTCAAGTTCTGGCATTATATATGGATGCTACTGGGACTGATTAGTGCCCTTGTAACTTCAGGCCAAGCACAGGGATTATAAAAAAATAGTAAGAAAGTTCCAGATTTGCTCTCAATCTCAGAAGAAAACTTATATTTGTCTGTCCCAAACCACTGAATACTGGAGTTGACGCCTTGTGTTGACTCATCCCTGAGACATGGGGCTGGTAGGAAGGCCGGCCCCACCCTTCTGTCTGGGCTGAGCTGTGTAGATTTTGGACCCAGAAAATGTGCTTTCTAGGCTATTCTGGGTCAGGACGTGAGTACTCCTCTGGCTCTGACATGCACTAGTCTCTCAAGGTTTTTGCTTTGCTTTTTATTGCCATCTATATAAACAGAACTTATCTTCTGAGCTTCAAGTAAAAAAAATCCACCCAACCCTAAATCCCTGTGGCATAGTTCTCTTTCTTTTTGTACTAAATCATGTTTCTGGGTGTGTAAACATCCAAAGCATTATGGTATTAGAGAGAAGGGAATTTCTGTAGGCTAAGGGGTTGAGGGTGGAGTACTCTCATGGAGGAAATTACATTACACTTGGTTTATTAAGGGTGGATATTTGCATTCATTTCTGGCTGTGGAAATGATGTAGCTAGCTGGAATTATAATCTAAAATAAACTCCTTCTCTCTTAAGTTTTTTTTTTTTTGGTCAGGATATTTTATCGTAGCAATGGAAATGAAACTAGGACAGGTTCTGACACATGGCAGTTTTTGAAAGTCCATAAGAGGGGGAGAAAGACTCTTTAATCACTAAACACATCCTAAGGACTCATGTGGTGGAAGAGAGAGTCGACTCATCAAGTTGTTCTCTGGCCTCCACATGTGTGCCTCAGTGCACACACCCCACCCCAAAAAGAAATAAAAATCTAATGGAAAAATAGTTTAAGTTCTATAGAGGAAATGAGGATATGCATAGCTTAAGTGATAGAATCTTAGCTAATGAGTACAAAATTCTGGGTGGACTCCTAAGATCTTGAACTTGCTGACCAGCTAAAATTGACCTTGAGTTCTTGATACATCTACATCCTCATGCTGGGATTACAGGTTGGCAGCACCACGTCCGGCAACACTCAGGAGGCAGGGGCAGGTAAGGATCTCCATGATAGGTCAGCCTGCTGTGCACAGCAAATTCTAGGACAGCTGGGGTTACAGGGTGAGGTACTGAATGAAAGGAGGGGGAAGGAGAGAGGGAGGGGACTCAGTTGGCGGTCACCTTAGCTTATGTAGTGAGTTTCAATAGAATTTGATCTACAGCCTGAGACCCCCCCCCTTTTCACACATCCACCAAAAAATACACTAGCACTAGTGTTTTGGCACATGCCTGCAATCCTAGCTTGCCAAAGCTGAGGCAGGAGGATTACTTATTGTTCAAGGCCAGGCAGGATGCACTACATAGTAAGTGCCAAGCCAAACTGAGTTATTTATAGAAACTATTTCTCAAAAAGGGTAGTATTGAACAAAGTACACATATTCATGAAATTGTGAGAAACATATAAATTTAAAAATAAAAAATTAATAATGAAAAGGATGGCTTCAGTCACAGAATCCTGATCTGTGTTCTGCAGAAGCGGCACCTCCATAGAGCAGTCTCCACCAAACGGAAGGACCTGCATGCCTGCTATCTAGAACCTATACTCTTGATCACTTTGCTCATGGAAGTAGAGGTAATGACCTGTGTCTGTACTGATGATTGTATTCATATAGGAATTCTACAGAAATTGCAGAAAAGCTTTTACTACTGTCCACTTTGGAACTCACCGATGATTCTGATGAAAAGGAAACCAGTAAAAGCATTTGAGAGGAACTGTGCAATGCACTGTAGTTGAGTATCCAGAATGAAAAGAATTTCAGCAAGAGGGTGACCCATACAATAACATATGGCCGGGTCCGAATAGAGTCCTGGACTGCTTCACGGCAATCAGAAGTTCATGCATTTTAAGTCCTTGTGACTCTCTGAATCTTAAGCAAGAGTTTTCTTGTAATAAATAGAATATCTTTTCTGTCCTTGTCACATGCTTCAAAATTTCATGTCTTATATAACACAACCATTTTACATCTACTTTTAATTTATACTAGTGTAACTCCATACCATAAATTGAAAAGAGAGCCTCCCCCAAGTTCTAGTATATCCTTTTTGTACGGTACTACCAGGTCTGGTATTCACTAATGGTTTTGTTTCTACCTCCCAAGTGTTAGATTGTAGGTGTCCATCAACATGCAGGGCTTTTTTTCCTATTTGTTTCAGTTTTTAAAATTGGTGGTGGAAAATCGAATACAGGGTTTTATGCATGCTAAGCAAGTATTCTACTAACTGAGCCATATCTTCAGTCTCTAAAACATTATATGTATATATATATGTGTGTGTGTGTGTGTGTGTGTGTGTGTGTGTGTTTGTATATATGTATATATATATGTGCTTTATTTTTGTGTGCGTGCCTGATTAAGTTTATGTGCACGATGTGCACGTAGGACCCTTCAGAATCCATAGCACAGTATTAAGTCCCTTAGAACTAGAGTTACAAGTGGTTGTGAGCCACTATGTGGGTTCTGCCTAGAGAACTTGAGCTTTCTATAAGAAAGCAGCAAGCTCTCTTGACCACTTTCACCAGGTTTCATGACCTACTCTTCTAAAATGTAATTGTTTGAGATCCTAATCCAAGTATACGATTTTGCCTCTTTTCTTTCTGCCTCTAACCTCGCTCCCACATACTCTTCCTTTTGCACTCATTCAAATTTGTGGCCTCTTTTTCTCTAATTATTGCAAATATTATGTAGTATACATACACACACATGCACACACACACACACACACACACACACACACACACACACACACACACACCTGAACCTCATTGGCCTGGTAGCTTAGCCAGATCAATGAGCTTCAGGTTCAGTATGAGTGTTTATCTCAAAAAAGAAGGCAGATTGGGTGAGAGAAACCTGCCACTGACATCTGATCTCTAGATGTACACATATACACACATATGCTGGCACAAGCACCTACACTCACATGTGTAATGTACACTGAGTGTGGTCATTTAAATAAGAATGGCCCCCATAGGCTCATATATTTGAATGTTTAGTCATTAAGAAATGACACTACTTAGAGGGATTAGCAAGTGTGGCCTTGTTGTGGTAGGGTTGGCTTTGTTAGAAGAAATGAGTCACTGGGAAGTGGTCCTTGGGGTTTCAAATGCTCAAGCCAAGCTCAGTGGCTCTTTCTGCCTGCTGTCTACATACCCTTCCTGATGCAGAACTCTCAGCTCCATCTCCAGTACCATGTCTACTTGCATGGCACCATGTTTTCTGCCATGACAATAATGAACCTCTGAACTGCAAGCAAGCCCCAATTAAATGTTTTCCTTTATAAG